AGGTGGATTCATGGTTGGTAAAAGATGGCTAGGGATGGTAAAAGATGGCTAGGGATGGGAAGGGATTTGGTAAAGCCACGTAGCCATATAGCATAGATCTTTTCAATGGGCTACTTGGGCATTTGGCCAGAGGAATTAGCCCCTGAAATACCCACAGGAAGCCCAACCAACTCACTGACACAAATTCATAGTGGTTAACCTGTGGCCAGTGATGTTGCTGCATAGCCATATAGCCTACATCTTTTCAATGGCTACTTGGCTACTTGGCTAACTTGCTACAGGAATTAGCCGTTGAAATACCCACAGGAAGCCCAACCAACTCACTGACACAAATTCATAGTGGTTGACCTATGGTCAGTGATGTTGCCACATAGCCATATAGCTTACATCTTTTCAATGGCTACTTGGCTACTTGGCTAACTTGCCACAGGAATTAGCCGTTGACATACCCACAGAAAGCCCAACAAACTCACTGACACATATTCACAGTTTAGCCAGAAGCCAGTGATGTAGCCAAGTAACCATGTAGCCACAAAACTGAAATTGGCAGTGCAGCTAGCCATGCATAAATATATATATATACATAGACCTTATTATTAGTTTAATAACTATGATTTAATAACTTTTTTATCTGGAGTTAAAGCCACAACGGAGTTTTTCATTCACGCGATGAAAGCGGTTGTAGCCATCAAACAAGGGACCATGTAACCAATTGTAGAACTCTTGGAGATGGCCTGATTATTGATATAGTCATCTCAAATCTCTTCTGAAAAGACATCTCTGTATGAAAAAGGAAGAGAGATCAGTCTGCGGTGCAGTTGCGCCCAAGTACTTTCGTGTTGCTTACCTCACTCTTGCTAGTTTGGAAGAAGAAATGTTCAATTCAGTCCGCTGAGTATGATTCTGACATTTTATATTATTAAGTATGCAAATTAAAAAGGTATAAAGAGAACAATGAAAAATAAAGAATGTCATTCTTTTGACATAATCCTTTTGGCATAATGAAACACATAATTTTAAACAAAGTTGCTAAAAACACTTGAAGATCAATGGAATCATAGTTAATAGAGCGGAATGGTTTGGATACTCCACAGAACAAAGCTATTGTTTTGCATTTGAGGTTGAAACGTACCGTCACGTGATACTGACCGTGCACAATGAACAAAAGCAAGATAATGATGTGTGGTGATGTCGATGATGATGATAGTAATAATGAATGAAGACAAAAATGCACGTACCATCATCATAGCTGTGCATCATTTAATATTATCACCATTATCATATCATTTTATTATCTACAAAATAATGTGCTTGGGCCAGCTGTGTTATTCGAAGCGAGCCCCCATATTGTAAGGTCAGCGGTGTCATTCATAGTCTACGCAGTCGGTTCGTCATATCGTTTTGTCTCGTAGCATTTTATCTCCAAAAAACCTTTCAATTTTACTAAAGAAATGGTTTGTGAAAAGTGTAAGTATTCTTGAATTATTTTTCATACTTATAAGTGGTTTCTAATTTATTTTCTAGTATTTTGTTGATAATTTAGAAGTTCGTGTAGATTGACATGGATTTCTGTTTATGAGTAACTTTATTTCTTGATTTATTTAGCTGCACAAGACACTAGTTCGTTCGTCTGCTATCTTTAAAATCGAGACTACGGTTTCTTGAGAGACCAGCCTTGGATTTTCTGTAAAAAAGACCTTAAAATTGCTCATATAATAGAAGTATGATCTTTATAATACACTCGACAAAATTACTTGATTCTGATTGGACAAGAGGAGTACAATTAAATCCCAAATTGGACTCTGTAGAGTCCCAATTAAATTGCTCAATAGACCTATCCYGAATTCACTTGACTGACCACKAAACAATGGTTTGAAGTYGAGACTGAACTTGAATCTGTTATTCATCAAGTTCAACCTCGACTTGAAACCATTGTTTCATCACCAGTCAAGCGAATTCGGGATAGGTCTATTTTATTRAGTGTATTATGAATATRAAAAATTGCAYGATCTTCTCATACAATTTGGAATTTATAGATACTTGTGATGTTTTGAACGTTCTMAAATTGGACTKGCCTAAASGCTCGTCCAGTTTTGAAAAYTTTMAAAACATCACTCKTRCCTATAAATTCTGAATTGTACTCAAGGTCGTGCAACTTCTTATATAAAGTGTGCAAGTACAAAATTAACTTTGTATATTTACCACTACAGGTCAAAAGAAACTTGGAAAGGTTATCTGCCCAGATCCATGGAAGAGTGGTGCCACAAATATAACAGGTATAACTATTGGTATAGCCTTTAGTTTGGTAATTGTCGATTGCACATTTAATACGTCATAGCATCCTTGGTATTTAACAAAAGACTTCTCATTTTTTTGTTATTACTAATTTCGTATTGTGTTGTCATATTTTGTAGAAGGCGGAGGAAGAAAACTTAATGAAAACAAGCTTTTAACTCAGAAGAAAAACAGGTAAGTTTGTTTACTTTTGGAGGTAAGGGTACGTATATCAGACTAAGGTCAAAAGATGAAC